CCCCAGAAATGGGAGTTCAGAAATGGGAGGGAAAGACCCCAAAATGGGGGGAAAACACCCCAAAAATGGAGGGGGGGAATCCCCAAAATTTGGGGGGAAAACCTCAAAAATGGGGGTTCAGAAATGGAGGGGAAATCCAAAAAATTTGGGGGAGAATGACCCCAAAAATGGGAGGGGGAAATCCCAAAAATTTGGGGGGGAAACCTCAAAAATGGGGGTCCAGAAATGGGGGGGAAAGACCCCAAAAATTTGGGGGAGAATGACCCCAAAAATGGGGGGAAATCCCCCAAAAATGGGAGCCCCAAATTGGGGGGAAAACCCCAAAAATGAGGTCCCAAAACCCCCCCAAATGGAGACCCCTCCCCCCCTCCCCTCAGGGTCCAATTTTGGGGGGGAGGGGTCACAAATTTGGGGGTTCCCCCTTCCCCCGGGAGCCTCCTGGCCCCACCCCAATGACGTCACGTGGAGGCCAATGATGTCACGGACTCAGACGATGACGTCACGACACCCAGAAGCCGGTGATGACGTCACAGCCGTGCCCAGCAGAGCTGATGACGTCATAGCGCCATTTACTGCAGCCGATGACGTCATAGAGCAGCTGATGACGTCACAGAAGAGCCGATGACGTCACACACTCAGCCGATGGCAGCTGATGATGTCACAGAGCAGCTGATGACGTCACAGCCCCAGCCCAGGGCGTGGTGACGTCACGGAGCTCTCCTCGTCTGTCGGTGATGTCATAACCCCGCCCCCTGCTCTCCAATGACGTCACGGCCCCATATACGGCAGCCGATGACGTCACACCGGAGTTGATGATGTCACAGAGCAGCCGATGATGTCATAACCCCGCCCTCTGCTCTCCGATGACGTCACGGCCCCGTATACGGCAGCTGATGATGTCACACCGGAGCTGATGATGTCATAACCCCACCTGCTGCTCTCGATGACGTCACGACCCCACACACGGCAGCCAATGACATCACAGAGGAGATGATGATGTCATAACCCCACCCACAGCTCTTGATGACGTCAGAACCCCCACACGGCAGCCGATGACGTCACACCGGAGCTGATGATGTCACAGAGCAGCCGATGATGTCATAACCCCACCTGCTGCTCTTGATGATGTCACAGCCCCACAAATGGCGGCCAATGATGTCACACCGGAGCCGATGACGTCACAGAGCTCTCCTCTTCTGCTGGTGATGTCATGACCCCGCCCTCTGCTCTCTGATGACGTCACAGCCTCACATATGGCAGCTGATGATGTCACAGAGCATCTGATGATGTCATAACCCCACCCACAGCTCTTGATGATGTCAGAGCCCACACATGGCAGCTGGTGACATCACACTGGAGCTGATGATGTCACAAAGCAGCCAATGATGTCATGACCCCGCCTTCTGCCAGCTAATGACGTTACAACCCACAAACGGCAGCCGATGACGTCACACCTGAACTGATGATGTCACAGAGCAGCCAATGATGTCATAACCCTGCCCTCTGCTCGATGACATCACGGCCCCACACACGGCAGCTGATGACGTCACACCAGAACTGATGATGTCATAACCCCACCCACAGCTCTTGATGATGTCAGAACCCACGAACGGCAGCTGATGACGTCACACCAGAACTGATGATGTCATAACCCCACCCACAGCTCTTGATGATGTCAGAACCCACGAACGGCAGCCGATGACGTCACACCGGAGCCGATGATGTCATAACCCCACCCTCTGCCCTCTGATGACACCACAACCCACAAACGGCAGCTGATGATGTCACACAGGAGCCGATGATGTCAGAGAGCTCTCCTTGTCCATTGATGATGTCACAACCCCACACACGGCAGCTGCTGATGTCATAGAGCACCTGATGATGTCATAACTCCACCCCACAGCTCTCGATGATGTCAGAGCCCACGAACGGCGACCGATGACGTCACACCGGAGCCGATGACGTCACAGAGCAGCCGATGATGTCATGACCCCGCCCTCTGCCCTCCGATGATGTCACGACCCCACAAACGGCAGCTGATGATGTCACAGAGCAGCCGATGACGTCATAACCCCACCCACAGCTCTTGATCACGTCACGGCCCCGCACATGACAGTGGATGACATCACACCGGAGCTGATGACATCACAGAGCAGCTGATGATGTCATAACCCCACCCACTGCCCTCTGATGACGTCATGGCCCCACAAACGGCAGCTGATGACGTCACACCGGAACCGATGACGTCACAGGGCTCTCCTCACCCGCCGATGATGTCATGACCCCGCCTGTTGCCCTTCGATGACGTCACGACCCCAGAAACGGCAGCCGATGATGTCACAGAGCAGCTGATGATGTCATAACCCCACACATGGCAGCTGATGATGTCACAGAGCAGCCGATGATGTCATAACCCCACCCCACCGCTCTCGATGACGTCAGAGCGCAAGAACGGCAGCCGATGATGTCACACTGGAGCTGATGATGTCACAGAGCAGCTGATGATGTCATAACCCCGCTCACTGCCCTCTGATGATGTCATGGCCCCACACACGGCAGCTGATGACGTCACAGCAGAGCCGATGACGTCACAGAGTTCTCCTCGGTCGCCGATGATGTCACGGCCCCGCCCCCAGCTCTCAATGACGTCACACCGGAACTGATGATGTCATAACCCCGCCCCCCCAGCTCTCGGTGACGTCAAAACCTCTTCCCGATGACGTCACCCACCCCCCCGTGACGTCATAACCTCCCCCTGGTGACGTCACAGCCCCCTTCCCCCCCCGTTCTGTCAGCAGCCGATGATGTCACGCCCTCAGCAGCCAATCGATGATGTCACTCCCTCCCGCCCCGATGATGTCACAGCCTCCCCTCCCCTCCCCTCCTCCCAGGGGGCGATGACGTCAGCACTGTGGAACTTGCCCCGCCCCCACGGCCATCCCGATGATGTCACGGCCATCCCGATGACGTCACTGCCATCCTGATGACGTCACAGCCATCATGATGATGTCACGGCCATCCCGATGACGTCACAGCCACACTGATGACGTCACAGCCATTTCGATGACGTCACAACCATTCTGATGATGTCACGGCCATCCCGATGATGTCACGGCCATCCTGATGACGTCATGGCCATCCCGATGACGTCACAGCCATCACAATGACGCCACAGCCATCCCGATGACGTCACGGCCATCCTGATGACGTCACGGCCATCCCGATGACGTCACGGCCCCGCCCACCACAGAAGCCATAACGAGGGGAGGGGAGGGCGGCCCTGCCCCCCACGTGACCTCCCCACGTGACCTCCCTCCCCTCCCCTCCCCACGTGCCTTACAAAGCCCCTCCCCACCCCCGCCCCTCCCCACCCACTCAGGCCCCTGGGAGGGGGAGGGGCAATAAAAGTGACGTTTCCTGCCCTTTTAGTGACTTTTTGGGGGGATTTTGGGGTTTTTTTTGATGTGAGACTTTTTGGGGGGTTTGGGGCTATTTTTGGGGGGATATTTTTGCTGCATTTCCGAGGCATTTTGGGGGTATTTCGGGCTATTTTTTGGGGATGTTTTGGGGATATTTTGGGGTTATTTTTGAGGCATTTTGAGGCATTTTGGGGGTATTTTAGGGTGTCCGCTCCGTCACTTCCGGTCTCTCAGCCCCTCCCTTTTCCCCTACCGGAAGTCCCTCCCCCTCCCTCTCTCCCCATTGGCCGCCTCTCCCGCCAATCCCACCATTCAAACCCCTTTTAGGCCCCGCCCCCTCCCCCCCTTCCCGCGGCCGTTACGGCTCAAAACAAGGCGGGGGAAAAGCCCCGCCCCTTTTTCAATCCCAGCCAATCAACGCCGCGCTCGCGCAGCCCGCCCTTCGCTCCCATTGGTCGGCGAGCCCCTGAGTGGGCGGGGCTTGCGTCGGGGTATAAAAGGGGCGGGCCCTTGGGGGGGTCCCCTCAGCGCGTTGGGCGGGCGGCGGCGCCGGAGGAGGGACCGCGCTGCGGGGGGAGGAGCGACAGGGGGACATTTCCTCCCCCCCCCCTCCCCTCAGCCCCCCTCAGGGCTCCCCCCGCCGCCCCGAAACTCGCGATAAAACCCCCCTTGAAAAGCGTTTTTTTTTTAATCTTTAAAACCCCCGAGATTCCACGCAAAGAGAGGAGAGAGAGATATAGAGAGAAAGGAGGAAAAAGGAAAAGGAAAAGGAAAAAAAAAAGGCCGGCCCTGCGAGGGCCCGGCCCGGCGTCATGGTGAGGGGAAATGAGGGGGGTTTGAGGGGTTCTCGGAGATTTTTGAGGGTCCTCAGAGGGGTTTTGGGGTGTTCGGGAGGGTTTTTGGGATTTGAGGGCCCTCAGAGACATTTGAGTTTCCTCAGAGGGGTTTTGGGGTGTTCCGGGGGGGTTTGAGGGGTCCTCAGAGAGATTTGGGGTGTCCTTAGAGGAGTTTGGGACCATGAGGAGGATGAGGGGAAATGGGGGGGGTTTGAGGGGCCCTCAGAGAGATTTGAGGGTCCTTGGAAAGATTTGGGGGGTTTTGGGATGTTCTGGGGGGGTTTGAGGGGCCCTCAGAGAGATTTGGGGTGTCCTAAGAGGGGTTTGGGACCATGAGGAGGATGAGGGGAAATGGGGGGTTTGAGGGCCCTCAGAGGGGTTTGGGGTGTTCTGGGGATTTGGGGTGTTTGGGATGTTGAGGAGGGATTTGAGGTTTCTCAGATTTGGGGGGGGGCCTCAGAGGGGTTTTTGGGGTGTCCAGGAGGGTTTTGGGGATTTGAGGGCCCTCAGAGAGATTTGAGGTTCCTCAGAGGGGTTTTTGGGGTGTTCTGGGGGGGTTTGAGGGGCCTCAGAGAGATTTGGGGCCATGGGGAGGGGAAATGAGGGGGGTTTGAGAGGTTCTCGGAGATTTTTGGGGGGTTTTGGGGTGTTCTGGGGGGTTTGAGGGACCCTCAGAGAGATTTGGGGTGTCCTAAGAGGGGTTTGGGGCCATGAGGAGGATGAGGGGAAATGAGGGGGGTTTGAGGGGCCCTTGGAGAGATTTGGGGTGTTTAGGGGAGGATTTGAGGGCCCTCAGAGGGGTTTTTGGGGTGTTCAGGAGGGTTTTGGGGTGTTTGGGATGTTTTTGGGATGTTCAGGAGGGTTTTGGGGATTTGAGGGTGCTCAGAATTTGGGGGGGTCCTTAGAGGGGTTTTGAGGTGTTTGGGAGGGATTTGAGGCTCCTCAGATTTTGGGGGGGATCCTCAGAGGGGTTTTGGGGGGGTCTGGGAAGGATTTGAGGTTTCTGAGATTTAGGGGGTCCTCAGAGGGGTTTTGGGGTGTCCAGGGAGGGTCTGAGAGGGACTTAAGGGTGCTCAGAATTTGGGGGATCCTCAGAGGGTTTGGGGTGTCTGGGGGATTTTGAGGGAATTTTGGGGGTCCCAGGTGGGTTTGGGGGTCCTAAGGTGGGTTTGGTTGGAGGAATTGGGGGATTTTGAGGGAATTGGGGGGATTTTGAGGGAATTTTGGGGGATTTTGAGGGAATTTTGGGGGAATTTTGGGGGAGATTTGAGGGAATTTTGGGGGTCCCAGAGTGGGTTTGGTTTGGGGGATTTTGAGGAATTTTGGGGGAGTTTTGAGGGGGATTTTGAGGAATTTTGGGGGATTTGAGAGAATTTTGGGGGATTTTGAAGGAATTTTGGGGGTCCCAAGGTGGGTTTGGGGTCCCAGGGTGGGTTTGGTTTGGAGGAATTGGGGGAATTGGGAGGATTTTGGGGGGATTTTGAGGGGATTTTGAGGGGATTTTGAGGAATTTTGGGGGGATTTTGAGGAATTTTGGGGGATTTTGAGGAATTTTGGGGGATTTGGAGGAATTTTGGGGGATTGAGGGATTTGGGGGTCCCAGAGTGGGTTTGGTTTGGGGAATTGGGGAGGATTTGAGGGAATTTTGGGGGGATTTTGAGGGAATTTTGGGAGGATTTTGAAGGAGTTTGGGGGTTCTAGGGTGGATTTTTAGGGGATTTGGGGGATTTGGGGGAATTTTGGGGGATTTTGAGGGAATTTTGGGGGATTTTGAGGGAATTTTGGGGGATTTTGAGGAATTTTGGGGGTCCCAGGATGGGTTTGGTTTGGGGGATTTTGAGGGATTTGGGGGAATTTTGGGGGATTTGAGGAATTTTGGGGGATTTGAGGGAATTTTGGGGGAATTTTGAGGGAATTTTGAGGGGATTTTGGGGGGGATTTTGAGGGAATTTTGGGGGGTCCCAAAGTGGGTTTGGGGGGTTTGGATTTGGGTTTTTTTGGGGGTTTCAGGAGATATTTAAGGATCTTTTTTGGGGGGATTTGGTGACTTTTTTTGGGGGGGTTAAAGGGATTTTGGGGGCCTCCCAAGGGGGGTTTTTGGGTCTAAATTCACTTTTTTTTTTATCCTTTTTTCTTTCTCCAGGAGCCCCGAGGTGGAGCCTGGCAGGTGAGGGGTTTTTTGGGGGGATTTTTGGGTTTTTTGGGGTTCTTTGAAACCCCAAAAGTTTTTAGGGGGGGTCTCTGATTTTTGGGGGCTCTCTCTGATTTTTTCGGTGGGTTTTTTTGGGGGGTTTTGGGGTCTTTTTTGGGTGGATTTTTGGGTGGTTTTGGGTGTTTTTGGGTGGATTTTTGGATGTTTTTGGGTGGATTTTTAGGTGGATTTTTGGGTGGTTTTAGGTGGATTTTTAGGTGGATTTTTGGGTGGATTTTTCAATGAATTTTTGGGTGGTTTTGGGTGAATTTTTGGGCATTTTTGGGTGGATTTTTAGGTGGATTTTTGGGTGTTTTTTTGGATGTTTTTGGGTGAATTTTTGGGTGTTTTGGGGTGGATTTTTTTTGTTTCCGGGTGGATTTTTGGGTGGATTTTTGGGGATTTTTGCCTGTTTTTAGGTGGTTTTGGGCTGTTATTTTTTGGGGATGTTCCTGGGTGTATTTTGAGGTGGATTTTGTATTTTTTGGGTGGTTTTGGGTGGATTTTTGGGTGTTTTCAGGTGGATTTTTGGGTGAATTTTTGGGTGTTTTTTTGGATGTTTTTGAGTGAATTTTTGGGTGGATTTTGGGGTGTTTTTGGTTGGATTTTTCAATGAATTTTTGGTTGGATTTTTCAATGAATTTTTGGGTGTTTTTGGGGTGGATTTTTGGTTGTTTTTGGGTAGATTCTTGGGTGGTTTTGGGTGGGTTTTTGGGCGTTTTTGGGTGTTTTGGGGTGGATTTTTACCTGGTTTTAGGTGTATTTTTAAATGTTTTTGGTTGTTTTTGGGTGGGGTTTTGGGCGGTTTTGGCTGGATTTGGGCTGTTATTTTTGTGGGATGTTCCTGGGTGTATTTTGAGGTGGATTTTGTCCATTTTTGGGGCCCCCCCAGACCCCGAACGCCGAGAACCTCCCCCCCCAGACGCTGCGGGGGCTGTGCCGGGAGGTTTCCCTGCTCAGCTCCGACCCCCCCGAGGGCATCAAAGTCTTCCCCAACGAGGAGGACGTCACTGACCTGCAGGTGGCCATCGAGGGGCCAGGTAGGAGCCCCCAAAACCCCCAAAATGTCCCTAAAGTGTCCTTAAAATATTCCTAAAATATCCCCAAAATATTCTCGAAATATCCCCAAAATATCCCTAAAATTTCCCCAAAGTATCTCCCAAATCCACCCAAAATATCCCCAAAATATCCTCAAAGTGTCCCTAAAATATCCCCAAAATATTCCCAAAATATCCCTAAAATATCCCCAAAATATTCTCAGAGTGTCTCTAAAATACCCCCCAAAAATCCCCTAAAATATCCCCAAAATGTCCTCAAAATATCCCCAAAATTCCCCCAAAATTCCCCCCAAATTTCCTCAAAATTTCCTCAAAATATTCCCAAAATATCCCCAAAATATTCCCCAAAATACCCCCCAAAATATCCCCAAAATATCCCCAAAATATCCCCAAAATATCCCCAAAATATCCCCAAAAATTCTCCCAAAATATCCCTAAAATATCCCCAAAATATCCCCAAAAATTCTCCCAAAATATCCCTAAAATATCCCCAAAATATCCCCAAAATCCCCCCAAAATCTCAGGGGTGACTTGGGGGTCTCTGGGGGGGTCTCTGGGGGGGTCCCTGGGGAGGTTTGGGGTTTTTTTGGGGTGGTCTGGGGGTTTTTGGGGGTCCCAGATTTTTGGGGGTCCCTGGGGTGATTTGGGGGTCTCAGGGTTGGTTTGGGGGTCTCTGGGGTCCTTGGGGTGATTTGGGGGTCTCTGGGGGTCCCTGGGGTGGTTTGGGGGTCCCTGGGGTGATTTGGGGGTCCTTAGGGGGTCTCTGGGGATCTTTGGGGGTCCCTGGGGAGGTTCTAGGGGGTCCCTGGGGGTCTCTGGGTGGTTTGGGGGTCTCTGGGGGGATCTTTGGGGGTCCCTGGGGATCGGTTTGGGGGTCTCATGGGGGTCCCAGGGGTTGGTTTGGGGGTCCCTGGGGGCTCTCTGAGTGATCTGAGGATCTTTGGGGGTCCCTGGGGTGGTTTGGGGGTCTCTGGGGGGTCCCTGGGGGTGATTTGGGGTCTCAGGGGGTCTCTGGGTGGTTTGGGGGTCTTTAGGGGTCTCTGGGGATCTTTGGGGGTCCTTGGGGTGATTTGGGGGTCCTTAGGGTGGTTTGGGGGTCTTTGGGGGTCCCGTGGTGATTTGGGGGTCTCTGGGGGTCTCTGGGGATCTTTGGGGTCCTTGGGGTGGTTTGGGGGTCCCAGGGTGGTTTGGGGTCTCTGGGGTCCCTGGGGAGGTTTGGGGTTTTTGGATTTTTGGGGGTCCCTGGGGTCCCAGATTTTGAGGGGTGGTCTGGGGGTCTCAGGGGTTTTGGGGGTTTTGGGGGTCCCTAACTGTGTTTTTGGGGTCCCAGGGTATTGGGGTGGATTTTGGGGTATTTGGGGTGGATTTTGGGTATTTGGGGTGGATTTTGGGGTATTTGGGGTCGATTTTGGGGGTCCAGGGCGGATTTTGGGGTCCCTGGGGTCCCAGATTTTGAGGGGTGGTCTGGGGTCTCAGGGGTTTTAGGGGGTTTTGGGGGTCTTAGGGGTATTTTGGGGGTCCCTAACTGTGTTTTTGGGGGTCCCAGGGGGTATTTTGGGGTGGATTTTGGGGTATTTGGGGTGGATTTTGGGGTATTTGGGGTCGATTTTGGGGGTCCAGGGCGGATTTTGGGGTCCCTGGGGTCCCAGATTTTGAGGGGTTGGTCTGGGGTCTCAGGGTCTCAGGGGTTTTGGGGGTCTCAGGGGGTTTTTGGGGTCCCTAACTGTGATTTTTGGGGTCCCAGGGGTATTTTGGGGTGGATTTTGGGGTATTTGGGGTGGATTTTGGGGTATTTGGGGTCGATTTTGGGGGTCCAGGGTGGATTTTGGGGGTCCCTGGGGTCCCAGATTTTGAGGGGTGGTCTAGGGGTCTCAGGGGTTTTGGGGGTCTCAGGGGGCTTTTGGGGTCCCTAACCTGATTTTGGGGGTCCCAGGGGTATTTTGGGGTGGATTTTGGGGTATTTGGGGTGGATTTTGGGGTATTTGGGGTCGATTTTGAGGGTCCAGGGCGGATTTTGGGGTCCTGGGGTCCCAGATTTTGAGGGTGGTCTGGGGGTCTCAGGGGTTTCAGGGGGTTTTGGAGGTCTCAGGGGGTTTTTGGGGTCCCTAACTGTGTTTTTGGGGGTCCCAGGGGTATTTTGGGGTGGATTTTGGGGTATTTGGGGTGGATTTTGGGGTATTTGGGGTGGATTTTGGGGTCCAGGGCGGATTTTGGGGGTCCCTGGGGGTCCCAGATTTTGAGGGGTGGTCTGGGGGTCTCAGGGAGTTTTTGGGGGGTTTAGGGGGTCTCAGGGGTTTTTGGGGTCCCTAACTGTGTTTTGGGGTCCCAGGGGGTATTTTGGGGTGGATTTTGGGGTATTTGGGGTCGATTTTGGGGTCGTCCCTGAGATTTTTGGGGTCCCTGGGGTCCCAGATTTTGAGGTGGTCTGGGGGTCTCAGGGGTTTTGGGGGTTTGGGGTCCCTAACCCGATTTTGGGGTCCCAGGGGTATTTTGGGGGTGGTCTTGGGGTGGATTTTGGGGTATTTGGGGTCGTTTGGGGGTCCAGGGCGGATTTTGGGGGTCCCTGGGGTCCGAGATTTTGAGGTGGTCTGGGGGTCTCAGGGCTTTAGGGGGGGCTTTGGGGTCTCAGGGGTTTTTGGGGTCCCTAACTGTGTTTTTGGGGGTCCCAGGGGGCATTTTGGGGTGGATTTTGGGGTATTTGGGGTGGATTTTGGGGTATTTGGGGTCAATTTTGGGGTATTTGGGGTCGATTTTGAGGGGTCCAGGGCGGATTTTGGGGGTCCCTGGGGTCCTAGCATTTTGGGGGTGGTCTGGGGGTTTTGGGGTCCCTAACCTGAATTTTGGGGTCCCCAGAGGGCACCCCCTACGCGGGGGGGCTCTTCAGGATGAAGTTGGTGCTGGGGGTCGGGGGCTGGTTTGGGGGTCTCTGGGGTTTTTAGGGTCCCTGGGGTCAGGGTTGCTCTGGGGTCTCAGGGTGTTTGGGGGGGTTTTTGGGGGTCCCTAACCCGAATTTTGGGGTCCCCAGAGGGCACCCCCTACGCGCGGGGGGGGCTGTTCAGGATGAAGTTGGTGCTGGGGGGTCCCTGGGATCTTTGGGGGGTCTTTGGGATCTTTGGGGCTCAGGGTTGGTCTGGGGGTTTTAGGGTCTCAGGGTTTTTGGGGTGGTCTGGGGGTTTTGGGGGTCCCTAACCCGAATTTTGGGGTCCCCAGAGGGCACCCCCTACGCGGGGGGGCTCTTCAGGATGAAGTTGGTGCTGGGCAGGGATTTCCCGGCCGCTCCCCCCAAGGGTTTCTTCCTCACCAAAATCTTCCACCCCAACGTGGGGCCCGGGGGGGAGATTTGTGTCAACGTCCTCAAGAGGGACTGGAGGGCCGAGCTGGGGCTCAGGCACGTCCTGCTGGTGAGCTGGGGGGCACTGGGATGAACTGGGATGAACTGGGAGGCACTGGGAGCCACTGGGAGGGGATTTGGGGGGGTTTGGACCCAGAAATCCCCTGTAAATGGGATTTATTGGGTTGATTTGGGGGGTAAATTGAGGGGTTGGTGAGACTGGGAGTGACTGGGAGTGACTGGGAGGGACTGGGAGTGACTGGGAGGGGATTTGGGGTGATTTGGGGTGGATTTGGGGGTTTGGACCCAGAAATCCTCTGTAAATGGGACTGGTTGGGTTGGATTGGGGGGTAAATTGAGGGGCTGGTGAGACTGGGATGGACTGGGAGTGACTGGGAGTGACTGGGAGGGGATTGGGGGGCACTGGGAGTGACTGGGAGGCACTGGGAGGATTTGGGGGGATTTGGGGGTTTGGACCCAGAAATCCCCTTTAAATCCCCTGTAAATGGGACTGGTTGGGGGGTAAATTGAGGGGCTGGGGGGACTGGGATGGACTGGGAGTGACTGGGAGGGGACTGGGAGGCACTGGGACTGACTGGGAGGCACTGGGGGCACTGGGAGGGGTTTGGGGGCACTGGGAGGGGATTTGGGGGGTTTTGGACCCAGAAATCCCCTTTAAATCCCCTGTAAATGGGACTGGTTGGGTTGGATTGGGGGGTAAATTGAGGGGCTGGGGGGACTGGGATGGACTGGGAGTGACTGGGAGTCACTGGGATGAACTGGGAGGGATTTGGGGGGGATTTGGGGGGATTTGGACCCAGAAATCCCCTGTAAATGGGACTGGTTGGGTTGGATTGGGGGGTAAATTGAGGGGTTGGTGAGACTGGGATGGACTGGGAGTGACTGGGAGGGGACTGGGAGGCACTGGGAGGGACTGGGATGGACTGGGAGGGGATTTGGGGTGATTTGGGGGGATTTGGGGGGGGTTTCTGGGGGTGGGATTTGTGTCAACGTCCTCAAGAGGGACTGGAGGGCCGAGCTGGGGCTCAGGCACGTCCTGCTGGTGAGCTGGGGGGCACTGGGATGAACTGGGAGGCACTGGGAGGGACTGGGAGGGGATTTGGGGGTTTCAGATTTTGGGGGTTTGGACCCAGAAATCCCCTGTAAATGGGACTGGTTGGGTTGAATTGGGGGTAAATTGAGGGGTTGGGGGACTGGGAGTGACTGGGATGGACTGGGAGTGACTGGGAGGGGTTTGGGAGGGACTGGGAGGCACTGGGAGTGACTGGGAGGGATTTGGGGGGGATTTGGGGGGGTTTGGACCCAGAAATCCCCTTTAAATGGGACTGGATTGGGGGTAAATTGAGGGGCTGGTGGGACTGGGATGGACTGGGAGTGACTGGGAGTGACTGGGAGGGACTGGGAGGCACTGGGAGTGGACTGGGAGGCACTGGGAGTGACTGGGAGGGGATTTGGGGTGGTTTGGGGGGATTTGGGGGGTTTCTGGGGGGTGGGATTTGTGTCAACGTCCTCAAGAGGGACTGGAGGGCCGAGCTGGGGCTCAGGCACGTCCTGCTGGTGAGCTGGGGGGCACTGGGATGAACTGGGAGGCACTGGGAGGGCACTGGGAGAGATTTGGGGTGATTTGGGGGGGATTTGGGGGGTTTTGGGATCCAGAAATCCCCTTTAAATGGGATTTATTGGGTTGGATTGGGGGGTAAATTGAGGGGCTGGTGAGACTGGGATGGACTGGGAGGGGTTTGGGGGGCACTGGGAGTGACTGGGATGAACTGGGAGGCACTGGGAGGGACTGGGAGGCACTGGGAGGGGATTTGGGGGGGTTTCGATCCAGAAATCCCCTTTAAATGGGATTTATTGGGTTGGTTTGGGGGGTAAATTGAGGGGCTGGGGGGCACTGGGATGGGACTGGGAGGGACTGAGAGTGACTGGGGGGCACTGGGATGAACTGGGAGGCACTGGGAGGCACTGGGAGGGGATTTTGGGGTGATTTGGGGGGGTTGTGACCTAAAAATCCCCTTTAAATCCCCTTTAAATGGGACTGGTTGGGTTGGGTTGGGGGGTAAATTGAGGGGTTGGTGAGACTGGGATGGACTGGGAGGGGTTTGGGGGGCACTGGGAGGCACTGGGAGTGACTGGGAGGGGATTTTGGGGTGATTTGGGGGTTTGGACCCAGAAATCCCCTTAAATCCTGTAAATGGGACTGGTTGGGTTGGATTGGGGGTAAATTGAGGGGCTGGGGGGACTGGGGGGCACTGGGAGTGACTGGGAGGGGACTGGGAGGCACTGGGAGAGATTTGGGAGGTGATTTGGGGGGATTTGGGGGTTTGGGATCCAGAAATCCCCTTTAAATGGGATTTATTTGGTTGGATTGGGGGGTAAATTGAGGGGCTGGGGGGACTGGGATGGACTGGGAGTGACTGGGAGGGGACTGGGATGCACTGGGAGGGACTGGGATGAACTGGGAGGGGTTTGGGGGCCGTTGTTGATTTTGGGATCAAACCCAGTTGATTTTTTTGGGATTTTTTTGGGATTTTTTGGGGATTTGGGTTTGGGGATTTTTGGGGTTTTTTTGGGGATTTTTTGGGTTTTTTGGGGTTTTTGGGGGATTTTGGGGGATTTTTGGGTTTTGGATTTTTGGGTTTTTGGGGTTTTTGGGGATTTTTTGGGGATTTTTGGGGGATTTTTTTGGGGATTTTTGGTGGGGTTTTTTGGGATTTTGGGTTTTTGGGATTTTTGGGATTTTTGGGGGTTTTTTTGGGGGTTTTTTTGGGGTTTTTTCGTGTCCTGCTCAACTCAGACCCCCCCAATTTTTTGGGAGGGGGTCCAGGGGTGGGATTTGAATCCCCCCAATTCCAGGGACTTAAATTTGAGGATATTTTGGGGTAAAATGGGAACAATTTGGGACCGAACACGACCCATTTATTGGTATTTTTTGGGTTTTTTTGGGTTTTTTTGGGGTTTTTTGGCTCTAACTCAACTCAGACCCCCCCAATTTTTTTGGGGGGTCTCTCTGGGGGTTCCAGGGGTGGGATTTGAATCCCCCCAGTTTCAGGGGCTTAAATTTGAGGGCATTTTGGGGTAAAATGGGGACAATTTGGGACCAAACACGACCGATTTATTGGGATTTTTTGGGGTTTTTTGGGGTTTTTTTGGGTCCTGCTCAACTCAGACCCCCCCAATTTTTTTGGGGGGTCTCTCTGGGGGTCCAGGGGTGGAATTTGAGGGCATTTTGGGGTAAAAGAGGGACAATTTAGGACTGAACGCGACCGATTTATTGGGATTTTTTGGGTTTTTTTGGGATTTTTTGGGTTTTTTGGGTTTTTTTCGGGTCCTGCTCAACTCAGACCCCCCCAATTTTTTGGGGGGAGGTTCCAGGGGTGGGATTTGAATCCCCCCAATTTTAGAGAGTTAAATTTGAGGATATTTTGGGGTAAAATGGGGACAATTTGGGACCGAACGCAGCCGATTTATTGGGATTTTTGGGGTTTTTTGGGGGATTTTTTGGGAGTTTTTGGGGTTTTTTCGGGTCCAACTCAACTCAGACCCCCCCAATTTTTTGGGGGGTCTCTCTGGGGGGTTCCAGGGGTGGAATTTGAGGGCATTTTGGGGTAAAATGGGGACAATTCTAGGGTAAAACAGGGACAATTTGGGATCGATTTATTGAGGTTTTTTTGGGTTTTTTGGGGTTTTTTGGGTTTTTTCGGGTTCTGCTCAACTCAGACCCCCCAATTTTTTTGGGGGGTCTCTCTGGGGGTTCCAGGGGTGGAATTTGAATCCCCCCCAGTTTCAGGGAGTTAAATTTGAGGGCATTTTGGGGTAAAATGGGGACAATTTGGGACCGAACCGACCCGATTTATTGAGGTTTTTTGGGGATTTATTGGGGTTTTTTTGGGTTTTTCGGGTCCTGTCTCAACTCAGACCTCCCCAATTTTTTGGGGGTCTCTGGGGTTCC